GGATGGATTTAAAATTCTCTAATGAACTCTTCATTGCATTTAATTTTGCTACTAAAACTAAATTACGGTCTGCGGGAACCAGCTAAATTGGTAACAAGGCTCCTTGGTTTGAAAACTTGTGTTAGGCATGGTCGAAGCGTCATAGTACGGTAACAACAGCAAAAGCCATACTTTGCTCATGGAACAAAATGCTTGCTGTGAATTTCATACTTTCCGCTATGCAACATTAGATCAGTCAGATCTTCCGTTTATAGGGCAACGAAATTATATCACCATATGTTTTTGGAGTAGATAGGATGATGGCCCCTTGTCCTCCCGTGTTGTTCTCCTTATCGGATTTGCTCAAAAGGCATAAAAAAGTTTGTCAGCTCCTGATATCCAGTACCCCGTTAGTCGACCGTTTCGGTGTTCTTTTCAGCTCGTCACGGCGAAGGAAATATTATCATTAGACATTTGTTTGGTGAGTATAAGAACCATGTTGGATCATGTTCAGATATGTGTGAACTTCTGTTTTCGTTCGCGGTTCATCATGTGGTGATCTGATTCATACCTGTTCTTTCTATCTTGGTACGTTATCCTCAGTATTTGCTTTCTCCTATCGCGCGTTATTGTACAGATCGCGATCCAATGATGAAATTTTCCTTCAAAGATGATTCCAGCTAACTTTTCCATATTTTCGGAGTTATTGTTCTTCACGTTTACATTGGATGCGCTACCACGTTGCTTTCAGCTGCCTAGGAGATTATCTAATTAGGCTACGTTCCATACTACTCTAGCACTTGCTGTGCCGTAATCCAAATTATCCTGCTGTTGGGTTGGACATCAATCACTCCATAAGTTCAGCGTCCTTTTTTTGCATTGCCGTTCTAAGTAAAAACCTGAGTTTGCTGCCGGATATGATATGCAGTAGGTATTGTCCTTTCTTTGCGTGATATCCTTACTTTGATGGCATGTGTGACACCTTGAAAATCTATTTTTTTAGCAGCGCCGGCTACACTGTTTCCTTTGCCTGTCAAACGAAGTCACATGAACATTTGTCCAAGTTTGCTTGCATGAGTTTTAACTTGAAAGTATTTCTATGTTGTTGTTGCAGGCTTGAAAAATTACACGGTCCTTTTTCGACGTTTCTGGCCAAGTTTGAAATGTATCACACCTGGCTCCCAGCTGATCTCCGTGCATTCCAGAAGATAATGTTTGACTTCCGCAAGTTTTTCGCTTCCGAGGTCCTATTCATTCACTGACAATTTAACGTTCTGTTGACATGCAATTTTCAGCAGCTAGTGGAAAACGAAAAGCAGTCCATGTTTTGTAGCGCAGGCTTTCAGCAGCTGATTATTGAATTTCTAAAAATGTTCGAAAAAGCTTCTGTCGACAGTGCTCTCGTTTTGTCTCGCAAGTAGACTTATTTTCTGCTGTGTTGTTTTATAGATAATTTAACAAAATTTAGGTGCTTT